CAATACTTATGGGAAGTATCTAAGGTCAAATTTTGCACACAACCGGTTTGGGGGCTAAGAAGTATACCGGTGGTTAGTTTACTTGATGCCCCTCATCACCTTTTTTCGCGCTTTTCACGCTCTCCAATGTGGATTTTCGGATAGGGCGTAGCAAATATGCTCAGGTAAGCACAAAATCTCAAAATCGACCTTTTGGGTGGACACTGCCTTTAACTGCCCAAGTTGCATGCGCGCGAACTTGTTTTGAAGCTCTGACGCGGTTTTTGTGGAAAAGGGATGGAAGGTTTGACACGGATGTGTGAACATTCGCCGGTGTACTTTCGTGCTGAGACCAGTCGAAGGGTGAGTGGTCCCGAAGAGAAGGCACATGAGAGCGCTTGATTTGTACGACTAGCTTTTCATTTCGTCACGAGTCTTCCTTACATTCACTTTGTGTCGCAGCGTAGTTCTTGACTTCATGTCAGATCATTAATTCTCCATTCTTCACTATCCCACCTTATCTCGCTGATCTCTCACCTATCGACAGCTGTTATTTACAGATGTCTGCCAGCTCACGCGGTCTTCCGGTTTCCTTGGTCCGAAATCGAAGCATCGACGACTTCAACGAGCAGGTCGTCAACATGCTTGACGAAGTCGAAAAGCGAGTCGAACAGTTGAGGTGAGCGTTTCTCTCATAGTACAAACTTTGTTGGCTTTTAGTGTAGGCGGATGTACTGCTGAGGTGGCTCAAAAGTATTTGTTATTGACTTTTAAGCTGAGCTGAGCGTTCCGCCAACAATATAAGCTCGTTTCCTTTACGTCCCCGCATAGCTTTTGCTTGACTAACATGTAATTATTGCGGTGGTTGTGACTAATGATTCCCGTTGTGCTCTTGTGTTGGTATACAGTCTACCAGCTTCTACGCTATTGCGTCTTTTTCTCTTCACATATCGAATCATTCGTAACTTAAGTTGCCTATTGCACCTCATACGCGGTACTCGACGACTCGTAGGAACTGTAGAACATTGTATGGTGGAACATGTTTTAGTGAGGAGTTGCCAGTAAAGTTGTCGTCGGTTGCCTCGCATAGTGTGCGAGCTCACATATTAAGTGACAAATACCCTACAGTAGTTGAATGGGACTGATGTAAAGGCTAGTCACAACGAAGGCAGAGGC